TCCAAACAGGCTCTCCTTTTCCACTGGAGGCTCCGTGCATGGTTCTAGCCTGTTCTCTCCTGTAGCCCTAGAGGAAATCCTGCCTCCTTCATCTCCTCTTACTGCTGTCAGGCTACAAGGAGTGACATGCCAGTCCCTGGCCCTGAGAACAGTGGGGTGAGAGCTGCTCTCTGCACCCTCCACAACGAGCTCCATGGGAAGAGGGAGCTGGCGGGTGCCAGGATACCTTGAACGCGTTCGATAGACGCAGGCCTGGCAGGTCCCACGGGCGAGAGCTGCAGGTTCCCTGGGCAAGCAGCAGGAAAAGAGGGAAAGAGCAGACACGTAAATAGTGTATGCACACATGCACCGGCTTTGGGGACTGTGCTGCCTGCAGAATTGCCCCCTCAAGTCCCCAGGAAAACCTACAGAGAAAATGTTGCAAGTCTGGCTTTATCAACCTCTTCTGTTAACACCACCTTTGTCACCACGGGCAGGACAGCCAGCGTGGCACAGTCCTTCCCTCACTCAGGGAGAGAGGCAGGGAGAGAAGACATCCTGCCAAGAGATGCAGCATTCCATGGGGCCACGCTGGCCCCATAACACACACCCAGCTTCTGCTCTCCAAAACCTTTGGGTGCCAAGAACTATCAGGTAGCTTTCAGGAAGACAGTGCCCACCCCAAAGAAAATGAGAGTCAGCTGCCCCTAAGGCCAAAGGATCTCAGACTAGGTTTGCCATGTTGCTGAAACAAGGCCTAGGATAGAAGTCAAGGCAACAAAGAGGTGACAGGTGTCTGCATGTGCTGTTCCTGGGAGAACAGGAACACCCGGGTCGAACTAACCTATCCATGGCAATGTGTGAACAATAAGGAATCGGGCCCCAGGGCCGGGCCGTGCAGACCGTGCCTGCGGAGGGAAAGCCGAGCCGAGCCGTCACCCTGCACAAAGTCCCTGCCAAGCCTCAAGCCAACGCGGACACGCAGCTCCCTCTGCTGGGCACGGCGCGGGAGGACGCAGCAGCCACACCAGCTGCTTCCCAGCACCCAGGCAGCAAAGGAGCAGGACAAGCACCAGAGAAGAGCAAGCTCTGCCTGCCCGCACAAGCACAGGGACAGACACGCGCTCGCAGAGGTGGAAAACACAGGCACATCCCGCTCGGCGGGGACAGGCAGCTCTCCTGGCTTCCAGGGCACAACTGCACAACTTGGCACAGAACAAGCTGGGAGCCAATCGGGGCATGGGCTGAGCCCTGGGAGCCAGGGAGCTGCTACCACAGCCTTGTGCCTCAGTGAGCAAACCCAGGCACAGCCCCAGGGCTGGGCACAGCCAGGCTGCAGAGAGCTGGGGCATAGCACTGCTCGCTGGAGCGAGACTCACACCACACACAGCACTACACACGTCTGCTTTACCTTGTCCACGCTCCAAGGGGACAGGCCCTGCACCCGGCATCCCAACCTGTGGCTGCATCCCACCTGAGAGGGGACAGGCATAGATCAGAGCCCTCCTCAGTCATCCCTGACAACTAACCAGCTCCTTTGGTCCCAAATACCTTCTCGCTCCCAGATCCTGGGGGAGCATCTGGAGGTTTATTCCTTTGGTGTTGGTTCCCCACAGGGATAATCCAACTTTGCAGCCCACCTCTAGTAGCAGCACAACCACAATGTACAGCACAGGATTACGTGTGCTCTCACAGGGCTGAGCTCTCTGGTTAGGGCGAAGGCAGAGGGGGGTGTCTGCAGGACATATGTGCTCACAGGTAGGGCAGCTTGGCCCAAACTTACCTCCTGGAGCCATGGGGCCAGGGCCTGGGCCCTGCACAGGGGCTGCCATCTGTCCTGGGGCTGGCACCCCCCCCTGCATGGGTGGCTGCATCAAAGGAGGAGCGCCGTTGACGTGCATCCCGCCCTGCCCGGGAGAGACACCTCATGTCAGGGACACCCCGACACCCGGGCATGTGCCCCAGCTGGCACAGCTGCAGCTGGCACTGCCCATTTCTCCTGCACAGCTCATGTGTTGTGCAGGCTCTTACTATGGGCTGTGGCTGGGATGATGGGGTGTTCTGTGGGTTCAGCTGCGCGTTGGGCCCTGGCCCAGGCCCCGGTCCTGGCCCAGGCCCTGGCCCTGGCACTGGCTGCTGGTTGCCTGGGATCAGAGGAGGAACACTGGTCTGGCGATGCAGGATTTTCTAGGGGAGGAAGAAGGAGAAAGGAGTTCTTTTCCACTGCCACTCCACAAAAACTACCACCAATACTCTCCCAAGCCCAGATGAGCAACAAGGCACAAACCAGCGCGATCTCTGGGTCCACGATCCTCATGACCACCTGGGCCTGCAGCAGTGCATAAGCCAGCTGTGGGTTCTGGAGCAGCATGTTCCTGGCTTCCTGGGGGCTGTTCTGCACACACAGCTGAGAAGACAGGCACCGATCAGAGCTCTGACAAGGTGTGACAGGGGCTGGGAGGAGCTGTGCTTGCACAGGGAGCAGGGCCCTTCTGCACTCACCTTCATCTGCTTCATCAGCTCAAACATCTGCTCGGGTGGCAGGCTGGCCACTGCCCGGCTGATGGACTCGGGGGCATCCTCTGGGTTGACAGGGTCCCCATAGGGTGACTCTATGATGGGTGCACCTGTGCCCAAGCCTGCAATACAGTTGGTGACTTTGTACTGCAACACGACCAGTGCATGTAATGGGCTCATCAGGAGGGGAGTGTCAGCCCATTGGGAGAAATGGAGGCAATGAAAACAGGGAGATGTTAGGAGGAATTTCTGCACTGAAGGGGTGATTAGGCATTGGAACAGGCTGCTCAGAGAGGTTGTGGAGTCACTGTTCCTGGAAGAGTTTAACTAAAAACTGGATGTGGCATTTAGTGCTCCAGTCTAGTTGATGGAGTAGTGTTTGGTCAAAGGTTAGATCATGATCTTCAGAAAGCTTTTCTAAACTAAGTAATTCTGTGATTTAAGTGATTCTGTGATCATGTAGGAGCAAAAACACAGACCTGAGTCTATGCTTATGTTCCCTCTGGGGAACTACTCACACCACCTCTCAGAGCAGGCCAGCTCTACCAGCCTGGCACAAGAGACAAGCCCTGCAGTGCTGCCAAGGCCGGGCCCAGCAGGACACCCCAAAGCTGACTCACTCTTGAGCTCCTCCTTGTTCTTCTCGCTGGCGGCGTTGTCGACGCGCAGGGCCCTGCCGCTGAACTCGCGCCCGTTGAGGTTGCGCATGGCGCTGAGCGCCGTCTCCTGGTCCTGGTACTCGCAGAAGCCATAGCCCTTGGGCTTCCCCGTCTCCCTGTCGTACACCAGCCTGGCAGTGAGGAGAGCACCGCTGCTGCTGAGGGCAGTGTGGGCACCCCGCTGCGCCCACAGCCCCACAGCTCCAGAGGGGGTACTGGGATAGAGGCACAGGGGTGCTGGGAGCAGAGAGAAGGCTCCCGAGTCAGCCCAAGGCACACAGCAGCTGGGCTCACGCCAAAGCCAAAGGGCCTGCTGGCTCCTGGCATGGGTGCTCCCAAAGCTGTGGTGTGCACAGTGCCAGCCCTGTGCCCAGCATGATCCCACGAGGCACAGGATGGGACTGACTGCTCCCAGAACTCCCAAAACCTGAACTGAGAGCTCTCCAGGACCTGGTGCCAAAGGCTGGCAAACACCTCTGAGAGGCACAGGGATGGGAGCGAGGAGCACAGAGCCTGACCAGGACCTGAGCACTTCTCAGCCACATCAAAGTGGCTGCTCCAGCCCAGAACTGTGTGCCCATGTCCATCTGCTGTGCTCGGGGCATGGTGCTCCATCTCCAGGTGACCCTGGCACAGCTATTTGGTCCCTCTGCCCTGAGCACAGCTGGCACAGACGCACAATCCCTGCAGATGCTACGCTGCTCTGTGCGAGGAAATAGCCTCAAGATGGGCAGGGGAGGTTTAGATGGGATATTGAGAAAAGTTTCTTCACCAAAAAGGTTGTCAAGCATTAGGACAGGCAGCCCAAGGCAGTGGCAGAGTCACCATCCCTGGAAGTGGTCAAAAGGTGTGTGCATGTGGCACTTGGAGCCAGGGGGGCTTGGCAGTGCTGATGGAACGGTTGGGCTGCCTGGTTTTGGAGATCTTTCCCAACGCTAGGGATTTACGATCCCACGGTTCCAAGGCCGGTTCCGCGGGGCTCGGTCTGCGCCGAGCAGGGGACCCGGGGGAGGTCTGCGGTCGCTCTCACCTAAAGCTGACCACGGGCCCAACCTCCGAGAAAATGTCCTTCAGCTGTTCTTCCGTGGCCTCATACGGGATGTTCCCCACTGCGAAGACAGACGGAGCCGCCGGTCAGAGCGGAGCGTACCGGCCCCGACGGCGAGTGGGGGACACCCGCCGGCCCCTGCCTGCCCTGCTCGTCCCTGCCCCTTTCCCTCTGCAGGTCGCGGTCCCGCCCCGCGGCCTCACCGAACACGGAGCGCAGGGAACGATCCACGGCGGGGTCCCGCACCGACAGCCCCGCCATCGCGCCGCCCGCGCCGCTTCCCGTCCGTGCGCTAACCGTCCCCCCGCTTCCGTTTCCGCTTCGCCCGCGCTCGCAGCCGGCATGGAAGCGGCGCTCATAGAAAGCGCTCCGGCGGGAAACGCGGCACCGAAGGGAGCAGGGCAGGGGTGCCGGGACTCGCCGGGGCCCCCGAACGGGGATTGGGGATCCGCCGGCACCGAGAACCGGCCTCCGGGAAGCCCCGCAGCCTCAGGGATGCCCTTTCGGGCACCGGCGCCGAGGCACAGCCCCTGGCGAGCCTGACACCGCCGGGGGCTCGGCAGGATGGAAGCCATGGATGCCCCCATGCCTGTCCCCATCCGTGTCCCTGCGCTGGCCACAGAGCGGAGATTCGCCCAGCGCCTCAGGTGAGGGGCAGTAGGAACGAGGGCAGCCCTGTGCTCCGGTCACAGGAGCCTGTACGTGGCGATGAAGGGCCTGAGCAGGCCGTGCCTTGCAGGGAATGTCTGGAGCAGGAGCGGCTCTCGGACCGGCGTTACGGGCTGCAGCGGGTGCCAGGCGGCCGCGTGGCCCTGCCTGTGCTAGAGGAGAAGCTCTCCCAGCTCTGCCTGCCCCCGGAGGTGCCCTGTGAGCTGGTCCGGATCCAGGTTGGCACAGCTGCCTCGCCCTGAGCGCTGCGAGGGGCGCTGGGCACTGAGCCCCAGTGCCACGTCCGTGCTGCAGGACCCTGTCCCCTCCAGGGCCGCCCGCCGGCGCACGCCGGCCCAGAGGCTGCGGGATGAGCTGCGGCCGCTGCTGGGTGCGAGCTGGTCGGAGGAGCTGGAGCGGGATGTGCCCCACGCCTGGCAGCGCCACGGGGACCTGGTCCTGCTGAGCCAGGACAGCTTCAGGGCTGAGCCCTGGGAGAGGCTGGGTAAGGACGATTCACACCGACCCGGTGCTGCCCCGGTGCTGGCCACATTCCCCACATCGCCCGGGATGTTGTGCTGCAGGCTCGGCGCTCTGGGAGACGGTGGCCTCGGCTCTGGGGGCCCGGCGGGTGGCCAGGCGAGGACGGGTGATGCCGGATGGGATGCGCACCCCCAGTGTGACCCTGCTGCTGGGCCAGCACGGCTGGGTGGAGCACGTGGACAACGGCATCAGGTGGGCAGCAGCTGCAGGATGCGGCTGTGTGGGGAAGGGACTGCCCTCACCATCAGGGCGGGCTCTTCCAGGTACACCTTCGACGTGACCAAGTGCATGTTCTCCCCGGGCAACATCACGGAGAAGCTGCGTGTGGCCTCCCTGCCCTGCTCCGGGGAGGTCGTGGTGGATCTCTATGCAGGTAATGTGGATGGAGTAGGAGTGGGGCAGGTGCTGATGGCATCCAGGTAGACATGAAATGTCATTTCCGGCTTGGAATGAAAAATACTCAGGCTTGGAACTCCTGTCTTGTCTGTGAGCCCTTCCGCTATCCTGGCAGTGCTCTCCTGACTGTGTCCCTGCAGCCTTTGGACATGTCCTGTACTCAGCCTAGTGCTGTTTTGGGGAGTCACTTGGATCCAGGGGAAAGATTTGCCAGTGTTTGTGCTTAAGGAAGTTAGTGATTCCAGTTTGTGCCACACTGAAAGGACATTGCACCCACAAAACTGCTCTGGGTTAATCAAACTAAACAATAATCTGGACACTTCTGCAGAGCCAGGCAGGTCTCGACCTCATAGCCAAAGACTGAAGATAAAATAAGTTCCTCCAAATATTTTTCAAGGCAGATTTTGCTTTTGCATAAGAGAGAGGGATAAATTTCCATTTTTCCAGTGTTTTGGCTTTTTCCAACCCAGAGCAAAGCCGACTTGGAGAGCCAAGGTGGCATTGTGCATCCTGCCTTGCTCTAGGGAGGAGCGTGGATCTCTGGAGGTCCCTGCCCTCAGCCACTGCCCCCTCCTGCCTGCAGGCATCGGCTATTTCACGCTGCCGTTCCTGGTGCACGCGGGAGCTGCCTTTGTCCACGCCTGTGAGTGGAACAGCCACGCCGTGGAGGCCCTGCACAGGACCCTGCTGCTGAACGGGGTGCGGGATCGCTGCCACATCCACGCCGGGGACAGCCGGCAGGTGAGCGCTGCCACCTGCCCACAGACCCCCCCCTCCCTGCTCTGAGGGTGGCATCACCTCACCTCCTCTCTCCTCCCAGCTGCAGCTGCAGGATGTGGCAGACAGGGTGAACCTGGGGCTGATTCCCAGCTCGGAGCAGGGCTGGCCGGTGGCCTGCCGCGTCCTGAAGAAGGACACGGGTGGGGTTCTCCACATCCACCACAACGTGGAGACCCCCCCCGTGCTGCTGGCTGAGCAGGGCTCTGCAGAGACAGCCGGCCCTGGGGGAGAGGCACAGCACCCAGAAGAGGACTGTGAGAAGGAGATGCTGGGGGCCAGGCTCAGGCCCGAATGGCAGCAGTGGGCTGAAGCCACGGCCACACGGATCCAGGGGCTGCTGGCAGAGCTGCACGGGCGGCCGTGGCGCAGCAGCGTCCTGCACATCGAGGCAGTCAAGTCCTACGCACCACACGTGCATCACCTCGTGCTGGACCTCGAGTGCCGCCCAGTGCTGCCCCTGTAGTGGGGCATGGGCACTGCTGGGGCTCCAGCTCCCGTGGAAAGGTGGTCTCCAGCACTAGGGGCAGGGAGATGCTACCAGCATCTGGATGTGCCTTATGTCCCCTGGTGCCAGCACTGCCCAGCAGTGTTTCCCCGTGCCCAGGACACCCAGGGTTGTGCTCCCATGGCAGTTCCCTTCAGGATCCAGACAAGGATGGAGCAGGCTGGGGCTCAGAGTGCTGGTGTTCTGCCCTGGCTCTGCCAGTCTCTGCCCAGGTCTTGGGCATGTGGTAGCACCTTGAGCCCCATTTTCACACAGGAGAGAGCCACAGTGCTGAGAAGCTTTGGATTCCTGCTGGGTTCATTTCAGCAGGTCAGGGACAAGCTTTGTGCATGTATTTACCAGCATGTTTTTTTAATGTACTGGAAACAAGTCTGTTCATCTTGTTTCCTTCCTATCTTTTTTTCTGAAATAAAGATGTTTCTCACCTCCTCTTGTTGGTGTCCAGTTAAAACGTGAGCACTGGTACAAACGTGGGGTTCTGGCCTGGGGACTTTGGGTCTAGGGTCGTGTGTGGAGGGGCTCAGGGAGCAAAGCCTCTGTGTCATTGTCTGCCTGCAAGCCCAAAGCCCTCTACATATTTATTGTGTACTCCCGATGGAGTGAACCCCTGCCCCATGAGGAAGCTCCCGCGGGCCCTTTGATGTCTCCGTGTATTTTTCCACTGTGTCAATGTCCCATCACTTCCAACAGGGCTGGGAGCTTCTGGGTGCGGCCGAAAGTGTGAGCAGGGCCGCGTCCTCTCGTTTGCCTTGGGGCTGCACCCAGGTGACCTCCCCCGCTGTCCTGCCCACGGCTGGAGCCCCACGCCTCGTGTGCTCAGGGTTCCCCGGAGCCTGTGCTGGGGGCAGGGACGAGGCGCCCTGCGGGGACCGTATCTCTGCTCCGAAGGACAAGGACAGCGGCTGGAGCCTTGCGGCGGGAGGGCACCGCAGCCCCCGGGGCTCCTCCTTGGGGATGCCGGGGGTTCCCCCCGCAGTTCGGGTGTCGGTGCACTCTGCGCTCTTCGGGAGGAGCTGCCCACCCTGTCAGGGCCATGGGGCGCCGGGTCCCGCTCGGCCCGCGGGGCTGGAGCCGCGGCTCTACCGGGGATGATGGGGCGGGGGAAGGGGCTGGAGGGAGCGGGCACCGCCTCCCGCACGGGCCGCCCCGTCGGTGCCGCAGGTGCGGCCGGCTCGGCTCCTTTAAGGCACCAGCACCGCCCTCCCCTCCCGGCTCCCCCCCTCCCGCTGCCGGGAGGCGCCGGCCGGAGCCGCTGCAGGTACCGGGCGGATCGCGGGATCGGGCGGGGGTACCGAGGGTTCCTCCGCCGACCGGGGAGGACGGGGATCCCTCGGCTGGTGGGGAGTCGGGGGAGCCAGAGGTCCCTCTGTGGTCCGGGGGTCGAGCCGCGGTGTCCCGGGGCAGGGGCAGTTCCCAGCCCCGGTGGCCGCGCTGAGAGCGCGGTGCCACCAGCCCCGGCTCTTCCTTTCCCCGACAGAGAGGAGCTTGGGGTTCATCCCGCTGCCCCCTCCTCCCCGAGGGACACCGGAGGGCGGCTGCGGGGACGGGCAGGTCCCTCCCGCGGGTTCCGCCGACCCGGGCGGGGATCGGGGAGCGGCTGCAGCCCCCGAACAAGCGCTCCGGCTCCGTCGAGGCTGGAGTGACGCCCGGGTCCCGGTGCCGTGGCTGCGAGCCGGATCCCGTCCGTGCCGCGGCTCCCGGTGCGCATCCGCTCCCGGCGGCTCCTCGGGCTCCGGCAGCTCCGAGCCCCGGTGCGTTCGGGGGAGGGGCAGCCCGGGGCGGCTCCTTCCTGCCGGGGCTGCCCGCGGGTACTGGGCGTCAGCCCGGTCCCACAGAGCCGGCTGAGGTCACCGGGGCTGGCAGGCGGCCCGAGCCCAGCCCGGGGCAGGGCGGGGCGGACGGCGGGCGGGCCGGTGTCCCCGGTACCGCGATCCCCGGAACGGGCACGGGGCACCGGGCGGGACCCGGGCTCAGCAGTTGGTATGTCCCTAGCTGGTCAGTGTCCGGTGAGGGCCAGCCATCCCGGGTGGAGCGATGTCGGAGGCTGTGGATCTGTCCTTCCTGTCGGACGTGGAGAGAGATCTGATCCTGCAGGTCCTGCAACGCGACGAGGAGCTCCGCAAAGCAGAGGAGAGGAGGATCAGGTGCGAACGCGGCTGGAGCCGGGCTGGAGCGGGTTCCTCGCTTTGCTCTGGAATGAGTGAGTGTGGATCACGGGTATCCCCGGGGTCCTGGGGCGCCTCTGAGAGCTCCTGGTGTCGGGTCTGAGCAGGCGCCTCAAGAATGAGCTGCTGGAGATCCGGCGCAAGGGAGCCAAGCGGGGCAGCCAGCGCTACAGCGAGCGGACCTGTGCCCGCTGCCAGCAGAGCCTGGGCCGCGTCAGCCCCAAGGCCAACACTTGCCGGGGCTGCAACCACTTGGTGTGCCGGGACTGCCGTTCCTACAGCCCCAGCGGCTCCTGGCGCTGCAAAGTCTGCACCAAGGAAGCGTGAGTAGCCAGGACAAGTGGCGGGCACATTCTGTACATGCCTCCTGTCCCCTTCCTCCTCTCAGTTGCCTCAACTTGATGCACCATGGCCAGCCTTCCTACCCTGGCTGGTCCTCTCCAGTGCAGGGCAGCTTTCTCTGCTGTTGCTCCCAGAGAGGGTTCCCATGTTTGGGTGATGGAGAAATGGGTCACAGCCCACTCTTGTGTCTCCTTCATCCCCCTTGACTTGACTGCAGCATTCCCTGTTCCCCTTACACAGCCTGTGTTTCAAGCATCGCAGGTTTCCTCCCTTTTGGCCTCCCCTGTCCTACAAAGCTTGGTTTGCTCCCATGTTTGCTGAGGATGTAGCTGAGCCTGCCAGCTGCCCAGTGAATTGTCTCTGCCCAGTCACCTGCTGATTTTGCCCATCGTGTTCTTGGGTTGTGGCAGCAGCGAGGGTGGGTTGGGGCACAGCCCCCACTGCTCCTGACTGCCCCCACCACCCCCTGCCCTGCAGTGAGCTGAAGAAGACAACGGGTGACTGGTTCTATGACCAGAGGGTGAACCGCTTTGCCAACCACCTGGGCAGTGACATGGTGCGACTGTCCCTGCGGCACAGGCCCACAGGTAAGGGTGCCACAGCCATGCCTGCTCCCACAGCCCAGCCTTGGATGCTCCAGCTTTGCCCAGTGTGCAGCTGGATGGGAGCAACTCCTGCTCCAGGCAGTGTTCCTCCTGATGCCTCTCTGCTTCCAGCTAACAAAAGAGAGACTGTGGGACAAACCCTTCTCCAGAAAGCCCAGCTCAATGAGCCTAAAAGCTGCCCTGCAGTCCGGCAGCCGAGCCCCCCTGCACCCCGGGAGGGGTCCAGGTAAGAGTCCCTGCTCTCCCCTATGCTCCAGGCACCAGCTCTCATCTGCTGCCGGTTTGAGAGGAATCTGCTGCCCCATGTGGATCATCGGCGGTGCAGAAGCTCTCTCAGACCGACCTCCTCGCCAAACAGGACATACCTGTGGTTTTGTTTGTCTGCAGTTCGCTTCCAGATGCCTCAGACCCTCAGGATGGCAAAAGTGACACAGAGTCCATGGAAAACATGAGCCTGGACAGCTACAGACCTAGCCCTGCTGATGTGGGGGGCAGGTGAGAGGATCCTGGGGTGGGTTGTCCTTGGCAAGACTGGCTGGCAGAGGATGGGACCTTCATCTTAAGTGTGTTTTTCTCAGTCTGGTGAGGGGAAGTTGGCTCCTCCGGCTGGAGCCTGCTCCTCTGCTCCCAGGCTGCTACAGGCAGCTCAAGTGGCACTTCCTGGCCAGCACTTGTTCTTCCAGCTGTACTCGTGGCCTGAGACAGACCTTTCTGTGTCCACCACAGGAGGAACTCCCTGGAGAGAGCCATCCCTGGAAAACAGGTTGTTGTGCCAGCAGGACCTGCTTCGTCCAGCCTGACCCTCCCTTTCCGCTCCAAAAATGCCTTCTCTGATGGTCGGGTGCGTGACGCTGCTCCAGCAGGCTCAGCCCTGGCCTGGGGCGTGGGGCTGGGCACCCCACAGGGCTCCTAGCCCTGCCCTGCTCTGAAAGGACTCTTCCTCCCCAGGATGCCACCGTGGGGACCCGCAGCAGCACCTTGGTGGACGAGCAGGAAACGATATTCAAGAAGAACCCCCGGCGGGTTGTGAGGCCTGCGGGTAAGAGATGTGTGGGTTTGGATGCCAGCACAGCCAGGGGTGGGCAGCTCCTCCTCCCCAGGCTTTCAGTGCAGATGGGAGAGGCTGGGGCAGCCCCTTGTGTGAGGGAGCAGCAGGGCTCTGCTAGTCCTGCTCGTGCCCCTGCCTCCTGCTCACCACCTCTCGTGCAGACTACACCAAGTCCGTGATCGACCTGCGCCCCGAGGACCTTGTGGGGGAAGGTGGCTCTTTGGGGGACAGGAGCAAGTCAGTCCCTGGCCTCAACACGGAGCTGGTGAGACCCTCAGAGTGCCACGGAGATGGCTGCCAGCTGGAGGAGCCGGGGGTCCGGCTGGCTGTGCCTCACTGTTCCCCACGCAGGAGCTTGTGTCTGTCCTTGCAGGAGGAGGAGGAGGAGGACATCGATAACCTGGTGGAGATCCACCGGCAGCGGGTGGCGCGGGGCAGCATGCGCAGCGGCACCTCCTCGGTGAGCTCCTGTGTGGCTGTGCTCTGCTCCACTGCAGGGAAAAAGGGTGGAGAGAGGCAGTGCTGATGGGTTGGGTGGGAGGGAGGCAGGGCAGGCAGCTCCTGGAGGGAAGGGCTAAGAGCCTTGTGTGTGAGCCCTGCTTGGGGTCCAGTGGTGTTCTTCCCAAGTGCTGTGACCTTCCTGGGGAGGCATCCAGCAAGGACATCCCAAAGGGCACAGGCATGTCCCTTAGTGGCAAGTGACTTCAGCTCTAGTGATTTCTAGCTGTAATTACTTCAGCTCTAGTGATTTCCAGCTCTCCTGTGAAGTCACTCCCAGGTGACACAGGGATAAAGGACAGGAACCTCATTCGGCCTTCCACAGGGAGCAAAGCCTTTATTATAGGAGGCCACTCTGTGAAGGGTGCCAGGGACAAGAGCTTCCCCCAAACTGGGAGAAACAGGGGATTATATGGGGAAGGCGAGGGTGGGGTAGAGCAACAGGGCAAATAGTCTGAAGGCTCAAGGTCCAAAATAAGGGAAAGAGACCAACGGGGTACAGGCTATTAACATAAAGAAACAGCACGATGGGGGTAGCTTGCTTCTTGCCACCAATTGGGGACTCGTTTGGGAGGTATCTCTGGGGAGTCTTATAGAACCCTTTGGCCCTCACTCCAGCGCAGGGGGTTCCTGTGCTGAAGGCTTATTGTCCTCCACATGAGGAATTCTTCACCTTGAAGAGAATCAAAATGCAGAGATTCAGCTCTCTTCCAGGCTGCTGTGTGTGGGTGGGAGACACTTGTGGCCTTCCCCAGCCAAGGGGAGGTGAGGGGGGCTTGCAGAAGAGGCACAA